GTGTTTCATTTATGCATTGTTTAGAACGGCTAGGTTGCTGGTTCTGAATTGTTAAACTTGGTGTCTAGAATTGTTAAGTTGGAATTGGATTCGTATTGGTTATTGACTTGTATTGAATTATTGGTTAGTAATTTCTGGTTTAAGTTGCTGGTTAATTGACTTATGTGATTTCCGCTGGTTGTGCGTATGATTGTGCCTGATTGGATATTGAGGGTTAAGATTTATGGGAATGTTAATCCGGGTCCAATGTTCTAAAAAAAAAAAAAAGGGTTGGGTTGTTTCAGGGTTCTTCTCCACCGTATTCAACGTCGTCTCCTCCAATTATCACAACCCCCATGATCTCTTTTGAAGGTGAGATCGTAGGRCTTCTAATGCGGAAGCTTTTAATTATGATCCACAAGGATCGTCTTCTCTGATACCATGTCAAATATTATAGAATAAAATATCTTATTGAGTTGTTCGATATGAGATCATAAGATACATATATATAGTGTTTAACATTAACATAATGCTAACACCGACATAATGTAAACTTTCCTAATATACATAACGGAGAATATATATCTAGAGATTTCTTCCATTTAGGCTTCACGGGTTTCACTTCATAGACGGGTTTTAATACCCCACAACACTTGGTCCGCAATCTACACGTCGTCTTGCTTCCCAAGTTATCTCCAATACTACTACAAGACAACACCAAAAGACGATGATGAAGAAAATGACAACAATCTTTCTATGGCTTACTCTGAGTTACAACTCAGTGGCAACCATAGGACGGACGAGCTAAATGAATTCAGTATGATTATATATTTTGAACTAATGATCAAAATATATGGAATTAGATTTATATCCTTTTTATTTATAATTTTCTTATATTTGGACAATTTAACCATAAGTAAATATATTATATTTTCTTGTTTTATCTGTAAACTTCGAACTCTTTTTCCGTATAGAAAGATACTACATACAGTATATGCTCTAACACAAAGTTTGCATAATAACACAAAGGCTGAAATTTTGTTGTTTATTACATAATAACGAGGCAATACAAAGGAAGGCTGAAACGGATCCAAACATTCTAGAATTTAAGGTATCCGGATCTGGATCCGTTGGATCCATGATAAAAAAATTATGCGGGTCCGGATCCATAGTTTCCGAATATATCCAAATTTGATATATCAAATAAAAAAATAGGATATCTGTATTCAGATTCAGATCC